TCATGCGTGCACTTACATTCGAACCTTTGAGTGAATAAAGAGCTTTATATCGCATTAAATCATAAATCAAATGATCAAAATCAATTCAGAATTTTGCACTGCAAATTTTGGAATTTGGCCGCCAAATTTTTTTAAAGGCCTAACTCAAAATTCCAATACAAAACTTAAGGTTGAAATGCGATTCTGAAAATTTCATGTAAAAATATTGAAACCCTATTGAGTTCTATTGTTTTGAGCGAAATCGGTTTCGCAAATATCGCAAACTGAGATATGGGCGATTTTGTTCATATTTTGTGATTATTTGAACACAGAATCCACAGTTAGGTAGATACTGAGCTGATAATCATAGATAATGTGAAGTATAGGCTTACCTTCCATATAAAGTTGGTTTCATTTAAAAATATTGATATTTGACCAATTTATGGGCCAAAATCGATCAAATTTGGTGCGTATGACCAAATATGGTCATATGGTTTTTGGCTCATAACTTTGACCATTGTTAATGATCTGGCCCGGCGCGCGCTACTTCGTAGCTCGTGCCGTCGGGCCATTTCGAGAAGAAAGCATGAAGCAGCGCGCGCTACTTCGAAGAAATTTAGACGAGTAACATCCGTCAATTACTTATAACTCAGTCATTTTTTGTCCAATCTTGATGAAAATTCATATACGAGTTCAAGAGACTACTAGCTACAAGTAGAGCACCTAAAAATACCTGGGCATGTTCTGGGTATTTGGCTTTATTGGACCTAATTTGGACCAAATATGGGCGTGGCTGCCCCGCGGGCACCATTTGGCGGTTGGGGTCCAAGACTCCCTCAAAAGTTTGGTCACCGCGGTCCTAGTTTGTTGGACAACTGCTATCTCGAAACCAAGTTTCACAAAAAATCAGGGTGAACCCCCCCCCCTTTTGTATCACGTGGTGACCCCCACTGTCGCTTCACTATAGTGGTAGTACCCCTGTAGAGTTTCTACGATACAGGGGGACCGGAGCCGCGCACTCGTGCGCGGCGGGTCATACAACGTATGACAATTGACAACCCCCTTAAGGTGTACAATTTTCATGTTTAAGATAACTTACTGTCTTTTGTGACAGCTAAAATATCATTTGTATAGCCTGATTCATAGCTTAGGTTGTGAAGAATCTTTTGCTGAAAATGTCATGTTGGTACTAATATCTCAAAATTTCAAAAATTTTACTTACTCACTCCTGCGCGCAGTGTTGTGACCTCCCTTCGTCGTAATTAGCTCGTATTCAGATTGAACAATTTTGAAGTCAAATAAATGTTGTTTCTTTTAGATTTGAATAAACAATAAGGATTTAGTCCGAAAGTAATTTGTCTACTAAATAACATTTTGAAATTATGAACAAAATTGGTAAAAATTGGCCATAGTTGTGACCAAAAAACTACGCGCAGAATTAAATATTTCTTCATAAACGCGTGAACATTTTTGAGTTTAACATTGAATATCTTAGCTCGGTTATTTTAATACTTAATTTTAAAGTATCTATCCGATAACTAAACATTTTATTTTTACGACAGTATAATTTTTTTTTGTATATTTGCTAAATTAAAAAAACAGTAGGAATAGAAACGTCGAAGGTCTTGCGCTTATTTCAGTCACAAAATATACCCTAATCATAAACTTCATAAAACCCACTGAAAATGATGTCTACAGGCATATTTAGCCCTTACACCTTCCCAAATCATTTAGCAAGGATTCAGAGCCAGCTTTTAAAATTAGCTTTCGAATAACATTGTTAAGACATAAAACTATAAATAAATGAGTGCGTTTTTCTCTTTCGTCTCAACAGTTTCTCTTTCATTTTAACACTATATATTAGTAAAAGCAATCAGCGATCTTTATTCATCATTAAAGGAGTAAAATAATTGGTCCTCATTAATGTTTAGTGTCTGATTACAGTTTCGGTCCGACCTCCACACCTGAAAAGATATTGGGGGTATTATCAGTTAAGTAAATGGAAAAATCATATTTGCATCATAAAACTATGAAAACATTGAAACTAATGTTTTTGAAGGCTCGCCTATTCGTTTAAGCAATCAAATAGTCAGTGCAAAGAACATGAACAGTTGAAGGCACCGGGAATGTTTCAAATAAATCCTCTGTCTACTATCAGACCACACACTCCACTATGCACTTCAATGTATCGTATAACAATGGCAGTTGAAATGTGTTCCCGCCATTTTAAAATCAAAAATGTGCGCAGCATCTTACGGGTTATGCGCCGTGATCAACGGTCACGGCGCAATGGTTATGCGCCGTGACCATTGATCACGGCGCATACACATTGCGTTTAAATTGTCGTATAAATGTCCAGCTTCTCTGTGAAATTTGGTTGACTCGACTAATTTAAAAATTTAATACTCTTTGTTTCATTCTAGTTTAATTGTATTTCTATTATGGTCGGAAAGAATTATAATGTTTTTTTTTCTTCTACTGGGCCACATTCAGCCTGTCATTCCGCCATATTTTCAACGGCTATGAACACTAACATATGAACACTTATATGAGCCTGGCCCCATGTAAGATGTTTCTTTGTAGTCAGCAGTGTATTACTATTTCGGTTTTATAGTCGCATTTAATTCAGTTAATATTAATGGTTTCTTCACCTCTTCAAAGTTCAATGTAATTGGTTTGGAGGTCATTTGAAATAAGGAGGTAAAATAACTCACATAGCTTCCAGCAAGTTTCACGGATATAGTGATTGAGTTTCTAGTCAACCTAGCCTCTTTGCCTGACTGATTTCTTGTTCGGCAGGGTGACTGCTTAAACGTCAACTTCAACCTCTTCCACTGCATCGAATCGTACTAGTAGAATTTGTACCTGAAATATTACATTTAGTTAAGAGCCCTGGTTATGAAGAGGGGGGTAGTAGTAGAATGGTATGAAGAGAACAGTGGAAGTGGAGGCGTCGAAGAAAGTCTGAGTCTAGGGGGAGAGGTGATTCCAAACGTAGCGGAAAAGCCAATCAAGTTCCTGGGTCGGTGGATTAGAGCAGCTAGGCAGCACACCAACAGTTTTCTGAGGACGTGGCAGGGTGTATGCCATACACTGAGTAACATCTGCTTATTTAGTCAAACATCTAGTGTGGCCTTGCCCATCGGCAGCCTGTCCGATACTTGGAAGCTGGAGAAATGTCGACTCCATCAGTCCTACCAGCAGTTTTTTGATGACATGATAAGGGCGATTCAACCGCAAGTCAGGTCAGGGAGAGTTTGGAGACCAGACAAGGAACTAGATTGTGCTGAGAGGGACTTAGTCTGTGAAGCGGTGAGAGGAATGGTCCAGCCGTACAGCAGAGCAAGGATTGGTTTTGGAGAATGGAAGAAACCGTGGAAGAAGATGAACGCCCGGGAACAACAAGCTGAGGTCCTTCAGAGAGTTAAAAGAAACCTCGAGCATGAAAGGGAAGTTCAATGCGGCTCTCTTGAGATGCAGTCAAGATGGGGACAGTGGAGGGAAGAGGTTATGAAGACGGACATGAGCTGGCACACACTCTTTAAGTATGGTGATTCGCTCACAGGTTTTATGCTCAGTGCGACTTATGGTACTGTGGTCACACCAAATTGATTTTTTTAAATAATCCAAATACAGGCAGCGATTTAGTCAACTTAAGTTTGTCATTTATGTAATTGAACATTAAAAATGTATCCTTCATAGAATTTTGTATTATCTCGAGGGTATAAAATTGTCAATTGAGAAACACGTCATAAATCTAAACAAATAAGTTCATTAAAATAGCTATCAATCAGTAAATGAACGAACCTGTACATCTAGATGATGTAGGTCCACCACTTGTAACTTTTCAGACCGGTTGTTGTACAGCTTCCTGTTCAGCCTGAAAACACATTTCTGTTACCATGACAACGTTACCATTACAAGTTACCCGTGATGGGGAGTGTCATGAGGTTACGTGACTGATAAAGTTAATACACCTCCTCCCCACTAATAGTGCACTAACCTGGAAATGAGGGAGTAGACTCCAAAAAGTGAGGACCAGCGTCAGTAACTTTTAAAAAAGCCCGGGCCTATTTTAGATCCTGAAATTAGTGCCAGGAGTCTGTTTCGTGGATTATATTGTTGGCTTTAAAGGGATTTAAAAAGTGTAAACAGTATAAGGGTATTTATAAAACACATAATTACTGAACACGTGTCGAGATTAACTTAAAACGTGAAAAATCAATAATCAAGTAATCACACGTTTCCTTGCCCCTTCCCTTGTCTGAAAAGTGAAAACTATCCCCTCCCTTTCACCGAACGTGTGTCTAATCACGAGCAATTTAAATCAAACACGTAAAAACAAGTAACACATAAATGCGAGTACAGTGGCAGTCAACTACATGAATGGTAGTCAACTGATAGTGCGGAGAAACACGGCACACACGTTAGGCCAGGAATGTTCCGCGCCATATAAGGAATAATTCACTGGGTGTACAAATAAACAATGTGGTTGGGCCGTGAACTGGTGGTATTTTTTACACAACTTGTTTTAGTGGGCTTGTCAAGTCCTGCTCGATTATAGTAGTATAGAAGTGAGGCGGAACACCATAGTATGAAGACACAGGCACTTTTAGAGTCCATTTTAATATCACTTTTCACGCTCAGTGCTTCAGACTTTAAATTAAAACTGGCACTTTCCATTTTAACTTCGGCTAATTGATCCCTTGCCAATATAAGATAAGTTGTAAATGTAAGTATGAATTGGGGGTCAAATAAGACAGTAGTTTTTATGTTCTTATGTGACTTTTTAATCTATAATTCCGATCCCGGCCAAGAACTCAAAATTGGCCGGGGCCGGGAATAAACACCTCCCCCGGCGCCGGGAATCCCGGTCGTTCAGTGCATTACAGCACAGTAAACAGAGCCAAAGTTGTTACTTGTCAAATGCTAAAATAGAATCTCTAGAATACAAATAAATTCATTCGATCAACATCGAAAATGACGTCACAACGACGGTAATGTCAATGACGTCACGAAGCTCACTTGAAGTTTTTGCTGCTGTCTGAGTTTATCAGCTTGTTCACCAGTCTCTGTACTTCTTCAGCGTGCTGATTCAACAGCATGCTTTTTGGTCTTTCAGCGCTTTTAGCTTCTCCTGAAATAATCGAGAGGTAATATTGTCTTCTTTCTCTAATAACAAACAAAATAATAAACAAACAAATAAGCAAAGTTTTGTCTGCTTTCAAGCTCAAAAGTAATAGTAACACTAACACGACTCACGAGCCCTTTAAAGCTTGTAATAATGTAAGGCGTGACTGTGTTTTCTATGGACAAAATTATTTCAACCTAATTTCTGCATGACAATGTTTAACCTAATTTCTACATGACTATGATCCAGCTATCAGGAAAATTTAAACATCTAATAATTTAAAATTATATCATTAGAACTAGAAGTTCATTTAAAAGTATCGAAATCTTAGTTCTATTTTTACAGTCACCTTTTTAACTATTGAGTTCAATGATTGCTAACTTTGATTTACTCTTTAACTAAAATTTGCTGAAATTAAAAAGTTGTATGATAAAAAGGTACACAAAATCAAAAACTTAGTCGATTAAACTCGTTTCTAGTCTGCGTCCAAACTTACTTATTATTATTAAAGTTAAACGTTAGAATTTATAAATAATAGTAAAACAGGATTTAATATCTCCCAAAGGATCAACCTCGTGAACTGTAACTTCGATTTAATAAAAGGCTCGAATAAAAGCAAAGAGGTTACTAAGCACTTACCTATTACCCCCATGACATAACTATAAGGTTAAAATTCTCCCCTAACGAGATATTGGCGAAAAACTGTCTCGATCACGTGATATGACCGTATAAGGAAGTTAGCCTAATTTCTCTATAGTGTTTCAGTATATGCTTTTGTAAAGGATTTGGTTAGGGTTAGGCCGTTAGGGTTGGGATCTGATTAGAGGGTTATGGTTTCCGGGTTTCGAATAGTTGTTTAGGGCCATCTACAGAACGGGTTGAAGAAGTCACGTGACAGGCGATTGTAGAGTGATTAATCATCATCCACCATAACTGCCATCGTAAACAGTTAATTAATTAGGTATCAACAATCAAGCACAATATATAATACAGCAGGGCTGATTACTGCTGACACGTTATAAAGCAACTAAGAGCAGAAATATGGATGATGGAATAACGCGAGGCAACAGTGAACTGGGCGCAATTAAGGCGCGAACAGTGAACGCACGAGGTGTAAAGCTCAAAGTGCTCCTTCATCAATTATGTTCACTCTTAGACGGATTTGACACGCGAAATTGCGCGGCAATTATGCGCGGCGCGTAAAACTTTTGTAAACCTTTCGGACAAGGGTTAAATTATTTTTCTACTGTCAACACAGCCCAAGTTATACATGTTTTAATATCAAAAAATGTCCAATTTTTTTGTATCATTTTTAACTAATTTCTTTTTCAAATCGCTGCCACATCAAAATTATTTTACGAAAGTACATTAAATTTTTACAGAAAGCAAGCTCAATCGTTTTAGAACTATATTAAAAAGAATTTAATATAAAAAATGTTAAAACTTTAAAATTATCAATTGAATAAATTGCCAACGTCCAAATATGTGTAAAATACGACGAAGAGGGGTCACAACACTGCGCGCGGCAGTGTTACTGCATTTGCTCAGAGAACGATCAGGAGCATTGTCCATTGATTGACGATGTCAACCCTTCCAGATCATTGCTCTGCGAATTAGCAGAGCAACAATTTCAGCTCGATGCAAAGTAAGAATAATAATTTTTACTGGGCGACGCTCAGCCTGTCATTTTAACGGGTGATACTAGTAAAATATTTGTTTCAAATATTTTTGAGTCCAACTCGGCGCGCGTCTTACCTGAGGACCCCAGGCTTTAATGTTGTTAATAGAGATTAGGTGGAATGACAGGCTGAGCGCGGCCCAGTAACGCGCGTCCTGGTAGGTTATAAACTTGTAGCGCGATGCGTTACTGTGCCGCTCCGCGCACTCAATGAGACTTCTCACCGTGACACCTCGCTAGGCTAGATTGGCGAAATGCGCTACTGTGCCTCGCCGAGCTGCGATGATTTGACATCGTCAATTAAGTTATAAACCCGAGCGTGCTAAATCACTCTACAGTCGATCTTCGAAATTTTTCTAAAAGGGCCCCCAACAGTTGAGACCAACTTCGATCGATGTATTTTTGGACGCTGATTCCGAATCACCCCCCATGACAAAATTGGGTCAAAATGCTCCCCTAGCGAGATATTGGCGAAAAACTGACTCGATCACGTGATATGACCATATACGGAAGTTAGTCTAATTTCTCGTTAGGGTTAGGGTTTCAGCATATGCTTTTGTTAGAGATTGGGTTAGGGTTAGGGTTGGGATCAGATTAGAGGGCTATGATTTCGAATAGTCATTCAGGGCCATCAAGAGAACGTGTTTAAGAAGTCACGTGACAGTCGAGTGTAGAGTGATTAATCATCATCCTTATAAACCTACAAAATCAGTTATAAAAGATGTCCTTAACTTAACTTTAAGTGACATTTAGCAAGTTACTATTTGTTTGCATTATTATTATTATATAATTGATAATAAATATGTTTACACTAGCATTATAGTGATGATTGATGATAGAGATATTATTTGATTCACGATGTCAATCCTTCGCAGCTCGGTGAGGCACAGTGGTGCATCTCGCCGATCTACCGATTGCGAGAAGCATTATTTGATGCGCGCGCGACCCAGTAGTGCATCGCGCTACAAAGATATTATATATGAAATAAATAAATTTTATAATTGCTTCAATCCTCAACACCGCTAAAAAATACCTTGTATCACGTGGTGACCCCCACTGTCGCTTCACTATAGTGTATCGTCTTCGACGATACAGGGGGAGCCGCGCACTTCGTGCGCGGCGGGTCATACCACGTATGACAACAAATACCTATTTGCCAATCGATGGAGCTAGCAGTCTAGGGCCTGTCGTGATATCATGGATCGCTTAGGTTCCACCAGGATCTGGTAGTCCTCATAATTCTGCGGCCTCTATGTGTCGTCATCTCGCACAACTCCGAAAAACCGTTGTGAGTTTGGCATGTGAAAATTTGCAGCCCTCCAGACATCGATTGGGTTAACGAGTTGTCGTACGTCACCTCAAGATCGGGTGACAGGGGGCTGAACAGGCCAGAACCCAATTGATTGGGTCTGAGGTCACGTGATTATGAGCCTGAGGTCACGTGACTATGACGTCACCAGAGCTCGTTCTCCGTTTCCCGCTCTTTGGACCAGGTGAGCTTGCATGCTTGTAAAAGTGGGTGTAAGTACAGCTGTACTGTAGTTACATCCAATTACCCCTAATAGAATGAAAATTTATTTTCTGACAGAAATATATTACCAAAATATCGACTTTGTTCAAAATTTATTTTGATGACCACTCCTGACCTAAAATTGCACGAGAAATCGATTAAACTTGGTTTCAGAACTCAACAATGCTTCCTTATGCCTTAAATCCATTTTTATCGATACAATAAACATTTTGATCCTGTGGATTAATTAGTAACAGGTAACAAATGCACACAAAAAACCATCGCACTTACATTGCATTCTTAAAGGGTCGATTTCGAGTGACCAATAATCGTCGTGATGATATTTATACGTCATGCGTTCCTGATCATCATCAGCAATCAAGAGACAGGAGCGGCGATTGCTTTAAATCAACGGTTTACGTTATTTTTGTGAATTCGACCCCTGTTTAAACGGTTATCACACTTTGTCATTGAATGTATTGAGGATAGCTTTACAAATAAGAGGACCAGTAAATAAAATTGTCACAAGTGTTTCTCTCATTCACTTTCGATAAGACACAATGAAAATTCTTACTTAACCATAAGATTCGGAATTTTTCAACCTTTGAAGAATATCGGAATTTTATAAAATGTAAGTTCAATTTTTACAAAAAATCAACGAATCGTATGAAATTCCATCAGCAGTTAGTTCCAGAGTATGGATCAGAGCAAAACGAAGGAATATAATTTCTTGCGGGAATCATTCCTGAAATATTGTCGACAGGTTCAAGTCTACTAGCAGGAACCCGTCTAACCCATTTTGACAGGTCACGGGACCACCACGAATTGAATTATAAAGATCTATCCAAATTCCACGAAGACTACGGACCAAGTTTAAATACTTCATTATAGTTGGATTCGGGAAGCAGTTCAATTGTGCTTTGCACGGAACAACTTATATCACGAGACCGCCATTTCTGTTGAACCGAGAGATTGCAAATCAAACTAGTTTCAATTTCAGATCACCTTTTATGTGTTCATTTGTGGTGGACTGGTCAGTATACAAACGTGGCACGTGCGGGCATATTTCTCAGTTTGAGTTACGAATTGCTTCATGCCTGAGTTAATTAATTCTTTGTGGTCGACTTGCTTTCGATCAAAACTTCATTAAATGAAATCGCTTTAGGGACATGTGTCAAAACTTCATTACTACCAACGCGCACCAATTAGACACCACCCTTGCAGTTGCTCTATGTAGTCGAGTTTTTCTTAGTCAGATTAGTCAGATTGAGGGGGTCCGGGACCCCCTCAAAAGTTCGGTCACCGGTCCTAGTTTGTTGGTTAACTGCTATCTCGAAACTAAGTTTCACAAAAAAATCAGGGTGAACCCCCCCCCCCCCCCCCCCTTAAGGCATAAGGAAACCAAGTTTAATCGATTTCTCGTGCAATTTTAGGTTAGGAGTGATCATCAAAATAAATTTTGAACAAAGTCGATATTTTGGTAAATTTCTAGCTTTCTGTCAGAAAATAAATCTTCATTCTATTAGGGGTAATTGGATGTAACTACAGTACAGCTGTACTTACACCCACTTTCACAAGCATGCAAGCTCACCTGGTCCAAAGAGCGGGAAACGGAGAACGAGCTCTGGTGACGTCATAGTCACGTGACCTCAGGCTCATAATCACGTGACCTCAGACCCAATCAATTGGGTTCTGGCCTGTTCAGCCCCCTGTCACCCGATCTTGAGGTGACGTACGACAACTCGTTAACCCAATCGATGTCTGGAGGGCTGCAAATTTTCACATGCCAAACTCACAACGGTTTTTTCGGAGTTGTGCGAGATGACGACACATAGAGGCCGCAGAATTATGAGGACTACCAGATCCTGGTGGAACCTAAGCGATCCATGATATCACGACAGGCCCTACTAGCAGTCGCCAAAACAAAGCTACAAAAGCTTGTATCACTTGGTGACCCCCACGGTCGCTTCACTATAGTAGTAGTCTTCGACGCTACAGGGGGAGCCGCGCACTTCGTGCGCGGCGGGTCATACAACGTATGACAAACAAAAGCTCAAAGTTAATTTACCTTCGTACTTCGTTTTGGAGACTGTAAAATCAAAAATGCTAATAAATAATTAGTTGATACATGTTTCGTATCCCAATATCAGAGATATCGGCGGCGGCGCGCGCTTCGCGCGCGAAAAGTGGCATGCAACGTATGTCAAATAATTAGTGATATAATTGATAATCAGTGATGAAATGAGTAATTCAATTGTTATTTCAATGGGCCGGCGCGCTCTTGTTCCGCTGAATCTATATTCTTTAGACTCTAATATAATGTTTATATGTTTATGCCTGGGGTCCCCAAATAACCATTTTGTGCGCACGCGAGAAAGCTTCAGCTTTTTTGTTTTTCGATCCTCTTGACATACGTTGCATGCCACTTTTTATCTCTGATATTGGGATACGAAACATGTATCAACGATCCTCTGATTATAGAACAAAATATTGGAGGACTTTGCCGCTTCGACGCGCCGTGCAAACTAGCATTCTTGATCTTGCTTCGCACAGCAACGATCTGGAAGGGTTTACATCGTCAATCAAAACAAAATATTATCTGCATATATCTTATATCTTATATCATTTATCATATATCTTAACGGGTGATATTTGTAAAATATTTGTTCCAAGACCATGCCATGCCATGACTATTAATGCGATAGCCAATGAGTCCAAATCTGAAATCGGCGCGCGTTCGTGTTTTGCAATTTTGGTAGATTATAAACTTACAGCAAATATTTAAGTACAACAGCAAATCGAATATCAATAACATTTTCGAACAATATTTTTCGCACCGATACACGATAGCTACCAATTGGCGGTGATCTGTCATTCCGCCATATTTTCAATATTAATAAACACTAAACATGTCCCCTGCAGACGTATTTTGAATTGGATTTAGAGGCGCAGGCACGTGATAATGATAATGATATCTTGCAGCAAAAAGTTCGGAGAGAAATAGTTTTGAAAAAGATAAAAAAGGAAGTTTAAAATAGCATGTAAGCAGCAGTTGAGCCTGGATTATTAATCTTTTTAAGTTCGAGAATATCTGTGGTTAAGTTTTGTACGTTAGTAGAAATTAGAAATTAGAATATATTTATTCAACTCTCACACAATATGATATTGATCATATTTAAAGACAAACATTCAAAATATAACTAATATGGTTAAAGGAAGACAATTTAACATATGCACTATAAGCACTTAAACTTGAAGTTGAATTATAAACGATAAATTAATCATACCGGTGCAATTAATCATACCGGTACATGACGAATTGACAATTGACGATGACATATAAAGCTTTAGACACATGGTAAAAATATCCATTAAATTTCACAAATTCATAAATTGAAATTTAGGGAAGCTTAAAATTTTAAGTTGTTTACTTAGTTGAGCGAGAGTACTTTAATTGAAGCTTTTCCTCAATTGATTGAAAGTTGCATGATCAATACGGTGAATAATTAAGTGATTAATTAAATCTCACCTGGGTCAACACACTTGGGCCGAGAGAGCTGATGGGAAAACACGATACCCTTCTTGCAGGTGATCTCCTTACTTCCCATCACGGAGTAACCTGGCTCACAGGACACTGAGATCATGGTCCCGTATACGACAGGGAAACTGGAGTCAGTGACGAGATAGTTCTCTGTCAACAGTCTAGTGCAATGATCTATGGTACAAGTAGGACGCTGATCCATTTTGAAGACCACTCCCTTCTCACATGTAATGGTATTGTCCCCGGCAAGAGTATGGCCTGGCTCACAGACAACTTCCACCACTGTTCCTACTATCACGGGGAAGGTGCTGGTAGTAGTCATGTCTGATAGGGCTGCTGGGAGTTCAGTACACGTGTCGAGAACGCAGTGAGGAGTTTCTTCATACTCCCAGATCTTATCCTTGATACAGGTGATGAGACTGCTCCCTGTCAGACTGTATCCTTGTATACACACCAGCTCCACTCTTGTTCCGTAGTCTACTGGAAGTGAAGGGTTGGTCTCGATGTTGAAGAAATCATCCAGCAATCCAGTACACTTGTCAATGGCACAGTAAGGAAAGTTCCTACTCGAGCTGTACTCGGCGTCCTGGATACAGGTGATGGTTCTGTCTCCATTCAAGGAGTATCCAGCCACACAGTTCACATCCACTGTTGTACTCATATTCACAGGGAACTGGGAGCTTGCGTAGAGGTTACTGTCTAGCGGCACTTCCGAGCAAGTTCCAAGGTCATTACAACGGGGTTTGTTCTGGAAGCTGAAGTTAGTATCTTGTTGACACGTGATCACCTGGTCCCCTCTCAGCGTCCTCCCCTCTGAACACTGTACTGGTACTATGGTGCCGTAACTCACTGGGAACTGTGTTTCTGTTTGCAACTGCACACTTGCGTGCAGGTTTGTGATTTCAAGGAGACCAGTGCAAGTCTTTGCAATACATGTAGGATCTTGATGTGACTTGTATATATTACCCTTCATACAGGTGATAGTATCAGCTCCTGACAGATGGTATCCAGTCTCACAGTTCACTGTCACCACCACACCATGCTGCACTGGAAAATCTGTCTTTGTTTCTAGGTTGGTTGTGTCCGGGAGAGACGCACACTCGTGTTGTTGACAAGAGGGGATTTTAGTGAAGGAGAACGCTGTTCCCTCTACACATGTGACAGTGCTGTCTCCAGTCAGAGTGTATCCGGGACTACACTTCAGGGACACTTCATTATCAGGTGGGAGGGGGAACTGTGTCTCTGTCATCATCTCCTTCCAGTTTGAAGGTAGATTCTCACATGAAACACAGCGTGTGTGATCTTGAGAAGCTTGCGACCCTCTAGGACAGGTGGTACACAGCCCTACTCTCTCAGTACTGTAGCTGTTTGTGTGACACTGCTGACATACTGACAGAGAACTGTCCTTAAAGGTCCCTGCCTTGCATGGAATACAGGCAGTTTTAACAGAGTTCGGTTCATCACCTACATCACACCTGTCTTTCCTACATCACACCTTTTACATCTTATCATAGAACTGTCCCTATAACTCCCTTCTTCGCACGGTTTACAAGCAGATTTGTTTGTATTTGGTGTCTGTCCTTCGTTACATCCAGCACAGCTTGTCATAGAACTGTTCCCGAAACGTCCATTCTTGACAAGGCATACAGTCCGTCTCCGAGCTTCCTTGTTCTGCTGCTATATAAGTTCCGTCAGGACAGCCCACACAGGAGGAAACTGTTCCTCCAGGACTGTAGGTCGCCTCCCCGCAGCTCTGGCACCCACTAGATTGGTCTAGATATTGACGAGCACCACATGGAATCCACGTGCAGTCACTCTCAGAAGATCCCGGACCAGATTGAACAGTTTTCCCAGTAGGACAGATTGAACACCAGGTCTGTGCTAGACCTGGACTGTAGGTGTCCTGTGAACACCAAGAACAACCTGACCCCTCTATCAAGTAGGCTCCTGCTGAACATGTGTTACAATCAAAGTGCACTTCTAGCTTCTTCCACGAACCAAGGCATGGGTCACCGTAAAACTCACCAGGAGTTGTGTTGATATCACAGCTGAGCCGGTTGTTGCAATGATTGGCAGTTTGAGTGTGTACATTGAATACTGAGCACGGCCACCCCTTGCCTGGAGCGTGGAATGTAGCGGAAGTGATAATGACGAAAGCAGTGTTACTACAGTGTATGTTGAGCACGTGGTTCTCTCCAACCTCAGTGTAGCCACCTTGCGAGGGTGAGAAGAGGAGAAGCAACCAAACAAATGAAACAACAGCCATTATTCCGAGTTCTATCACAACTGCATGGAACACAGCAGTCGTTTATAATAAGAACTCAATTCTAAGAAGGCTGCTACCGGGTATAGATTCTAAATCAAATGTGACTTTACGAAACTGTATCCTTACTTAAAAACCACAAATAACTATGATCTGTACTTGACATGTCTTGTAAGTGAAGCATTAGGTATAATATAACGATCTGTGGTGGTGTGAGTTAGTCTCCAACAGCAGCACTAGTTCTACGTCCAGTACCATAACAGCGTATAAGCTCACTAGTATAGTGTGTGTCGTTAGGTCCCTGCTATAGTATATGTCTCTACTAGAACTGGAAAATGAACTGGGTTAGGAAGCTCTGTCTAGTTGTCATTCTGCTATCATTATACTAAACTCGGACCTAGCTTCCTCACCAGAGTTGTCCGGGAACAATGGGCTACTATTACATATTCAGTTGTAAGCTTTGACGAATGCTTGGAACCTTCTAGACTTACTTATACTAGACTAGGATTAGCCGTGGAAAATGAACTAAACCTAGAAGGTAGATATACCCAACCAAGGAGATTTATCAGTAGTAAACTTAGACAAATCCTTGGAAAATCTGAAAAAATAAGAGAGGTAGACATCAAGGCATCATGCGAGTAGTGAGTATGGGTATTATTATATAATATAGTCCACGGTAACAATGTTTTAACAGCCCACATCCAGGAACTTTTCAATATCCTTACGTCCAATTTTCCCCCCTAAATTTTTCTTATCCCAAAACCGGTGACCGACAACTAATAACCTCTCATTCCGGTCTCCCACAGGTATCACATCACATGGCCCAATCAGTGACGTATCATTTGTGATGTGATCCATATTCTAGCCATCCTAACAGCCGGACAACCAAGAACCTGGGTAGGGTTCATATGACAGTTTAGTAAGTAGCCGTGTATTATGAAGTACATATAATATTAATTAGAAGTGTTCGAGCTCTGGTCAGTTTACTACCACCCTCATCAGATAAACATTTCACGTGTGGCAGTGCAATTGTTTCATATCAGTCAAGACTTTCCCTCATCGCATCATGACTAATATCTTAATATGCACGGAGTACTATAGGGCTACTGCAACGGAGTTTGTTGACATATCACCACTATTGTGCACCAAAGAAATATATCCATTATATTGGTTCCGATGTAATGATCAGGGACAGTCTAAACTTCAAAAGTTTGAGATCTGGAAGATTAAACATTTGGTTAGCTCGTCACTTTATTACTCGGTACAAAGAGTTCTCTGGAACTATCCTTGGATAAAGTTCGGGAACGCTTCAACTCAACCCAGGAGGAACTTAGACTCACATTCACATTTCACAAGCATGCAAGCTCACCTGTGACCTGGCCCAATGAGCGGGAAACGTAGAACAAGCTCTGGTGACCTCAGGCTCATAATCACGTGACCTCAGATCCACTCAACTGGGTTCTGGCCTGGTCAGCTCGGTGACCGACAACTAAGAACCTCTCATTCCGGGCTCCCACAGGTATCACATCACATGGCCCAATCAGTGACGTATCATTTGTGATGTGATCCATATTCTAGCCATCCTAACAGCCGGACAACCAAGAACCTGGGTGGGGTTCATATGACAGTTTAGTAAGTAGCCGTGTATAATTATGAAGTATAATATTAATTAGAAGTGTTCGAGCTCCCGGCATGTGTTCACATAACGGACGTGAGCCGGGTCCGAAAGGGGCTGGTTCTCGTATCAGCCACTGCGATACCATACTCACCGTACTTGAGTACTTGGAGCTGCCTATTGATAATTCGACTGCTTTTGGACGGTTATAGTTGGGTTAGCTAGTTAGAACAATATGTCGGCCCCCCTATTGTTAATGATATGGTTTAATTATAATCATACATGGTTTGTTATAGCAGTAGTACTCCATGCATATTAGTCATGATGCGATGAGGGAAAGTCTTGACCGATATGAAACAATTGCACTGCCACACGTGAAATGTTTATCTGATGAGGGCGGGAGTAAACTGACCACAGCAGTAGGGCTACTGCAACGGAGTTTGTTGACATACCACCACTATTGTGCACCAAAGAAATATATCCATTATATTGGTTCCGATGTAATGATCAGGGACAGTCTAAACTTCAAAAGTTTGAGAGCTGGAAGATTAAACAATTGGTTAGGTCGTCACTTTATTACTCGGTACAAAGAGTTCTCTGGAACTATCCTTGGATAAAGTTCAAGAAAACTTCAACTCAACCCAGGAGGAACTTAGACTCACATTAACATTTCACAAGCATGCAAGCTTACCTGTGACCTGGTCCAATGAGCGGGAAACGTAGAACAAGCTCTGGTGACGTCATAGTCACGTGACCTCAGGCTCATAATCACGTGACCTCAGATCCAATCAACTGGGTTCTGGCCTGGTCAGCTCGGTGACCGACAACTAAGAACCTCTCATTCCGGGCTCCCACAGGTATCACATCACATGGCCCAATCAGTGACGTATCATTTGTGATGTGATCCATATTCTAGCCATCCTAACAGCCGGACAACCAAGAACCTGGGTAGGGTTCATATGACAGTTTAGTAAGTAGCCGTGTATTATGAAGTACATATAATATTAATTAGAAGTGTTCGAGCTCTGGTCAGTTTACTACCACCCTCATCAGATAAACATTTCACGTGTGGCAGTGCAATTGTTTCATATCCTTAATTAGTTAACTAGGTAAAATTGACAGGTTCTTAGTTTTCCGTCAGCCCCCAAAACAAAAGAAGTTAACAAATGTGCTCTGCCTCGGGCCTTCTAAAATCTCCTGGCTAAATTTCCTATTTGTATGATGATTGGTAAATTTTAAGTGAAAGTAAAATTAACCTTGCTATGTGTAATTATCTCCAAAATAACTTAAACATGGCAGAGATCTATCATGTCTACATTGTATAAATTATGAAATACATGTTGACATTGGAGAGTCGCTTTCGACAACATGTAAGAGACATTAGATTTAGTATGTATTACAGATGTACGATTGCTACGTGATACAAGACACAAGTAGTTGAACGCTGATCGTATATGGCTGATATTGACTCTTGGCTGCTTAACTTTTGGGCTTTGATTTTTTTTGGAAAATTAAAACAGCTCAGTGCCAGTTTTTGCAATATACAAATTTTATGATTTAAATTTTGTTGTTTTCGGTTTCATTGCGTATTTCTAATATATGTGCATTGTGCAACGTAGAATTGAAATAAGTTGTATCAGAATAAGCTTTGTGTACAGAAATACTCGAATAAATGCTTAAACAGATTTAATAAATTTGCATCCGCCAAACGCAGGAAACTGAGCACGAGTAAAGTAAGTGACTTGACCATTTACCTGTCTCCCTTTGAGGTGACGTCAAATCAAAAGGTTCTCTAATAAGTCTCTAGTAAGTATTAATAACACTGAATTGCATGGTATAAGTACTACCATGATGTATGAGAACAATGACCAATCTAGATAATCGGGTCTGTTTCAAATATTTGTATCATCTTTCAATCATCCTTCAATTGACCGATATACTGATAAATACGTACACATACTTAGAGCGTATTACAAGCGTTATAACGGATTAAGTGCACAATGATTTCAAAATAGGAAGTACATTATTTTGCTGTAATATGTTTACGTGTTGCCCGGCTCTGCTTACTGTTTCGGGTTTTCTTTTAGTCCACAGTTTTCCAGCCAATATTTTGTCACAATGTCTGCATAGCATAATGTATTTTCTTATCATTTCAAATGTGGAACTGTGATAACTACATAATCTTATACGTGGTGAATCTTACAAATTATCATTGTCTAAAATAATTGTGACCGTATTTTGCCTCAGCAAGTACAGCAAGCCGGACAGGACCCTCCGCTAGGATATGCCGAACATTTTCGGAAAAAAACGTAAAGAAAAGATCGAGATAAAGAGATTGATTTCAACCAATGAAGCTACAAGTGAGGCACCTACACCACGGCCTCCTTTATCACCTCCCATCCCAGACCGGTCACGCTCGATGGGTGCCAACTTATCCAACCTTATTGAGCCACACCGACCTTTAGATTCCCTGCCAACGCCACTGCGTTTCAACAACCACTCTGGTGCCACGATTAGAGATATCTATGATAATAATGTAAGATTACCTCGGCCTCCTGTACCACTCCCGCCTCCTCCTCCTCCTCTTTCTTCTATACCACCTCCCACTTTAGTCCGATCACGCTCAACTGATTTCAACTTGTCCAACTTAGTTGAGCCCCAGCGACCCTTAGAACCCCTTCCAACTCCACTGCAATTCAATAATCATTCCGGTTCCATAATTATCGAAAAAAACGGTGCCACATTTATCAAAGATCAAAACGAGAATTATAGTGGAAGTGAAACAATAGAAAGGCATAATTGGTACCAAGGCTTCATCCTAGTAGAGAATCAATTCGATTATCTAACAAAATCTCAAGATCCCATTCCTAACAAGATGGTTGTTGATCTCTCCATTTGTTCTAAAATGTTTGCTTCAGATAAAGATATTAGATACTAATATTCCAGAAAACAGCCTCCCCGCTATGAAGATAATTTTATAATCTGAAATGTTCGTTAGACACAAAGCACAGGACGAGTCACCACCTTCAGCATCATTCCTGGCACAAATTAAACCCAGTAAACCAAATAGGAAGGACACTGGCAGCAGGTGATATGGAAACCTTTCTTCGACACTTCACCTCTAAATGGGGCTACAGCTGCTTTCTCTTACAACTTTACAACCCCGAAATGCACCGCCTATGTGACATTCTTAGCGGAGACTTTATCCTCTTATCTTACTACATAAAGTGCATGCTCATTCTCTATCATGGGGGACCTTATTGTTGAGATTAGGATCAGACGATAAAATTTAATGTTATCTCGATCCCAACTTTGTCTAATATTCTTTGGATTATGTTTAGATGGCATAATATTTGTTCTCATATTGATTAATTTACTCACCCCTAGATTCTTGTTGACTGTTCAGGTTTCATCAGATCATTCTTGTTATATTACCTACCAAATATTGGAGAACCGAGCTTTATGCCTACAAAATATGATCAGGGATAACTCATTGCCAGTTACACTGGGGGGCTGGGGGCTTTCATCACATGAATTCTTCACACTTTCTTGAAAATCAATAAAAACGAATGTGTGCTTTATAATCCTTGTATTGTGATATAAAAAATCAATTTATCAGATGAAAATGTTTATAATCCTTGTCAATATTCTAGTATCACTGCATTCTCTTTAAGTTTAAGCTTATCTAAAAATGGTCACACTTTACTTAATCTTTTCTTAAAACAACTTTACATTGGACACAAATTGTATTCATTAAAAACATGAAATTTGGACCAGAATTAACTTCAGAGAAAACCTGAGCCGACTGTATGGAGGGGGAGAAGCTGTGTGCAAAATACAACAGCGATTTTTGATGGCTCTACATGTGATGGGTACGTGATTTTCTTGGTTAAATCATATTTTTAAATAATATCAGTAGCAGAGTACAATTCTTCCTCATGTGGTATTTTTAAAACTTTTAAATTTACCCCACGTATTACTTCATGATGTCGTTTCTTTTAATTATATTATTATGGGTAGATGGATCAGAAAGGTTATTGAAAAGTGTCATTTGTGATCATTGATCCATTTACAAATTGTCAAGAAATACTAACTGCAGCACTGATTGATATTTAAGAGGATATGGTTTAAAGTTGATGCTGTTGGTATTCCATGAAAGTTTCATATCATTGTTTGTCCATTTATTAGCGTGGAGTAAGTTTACTGTTTAGAGCAGTTATATTATTATTTGTGTAAGACTGATATCCCTCAATTCCTCAAGTCTCCTCTGATCTATAATTATTCAAATAGGGCAAGAATCAAGATACGGTACATATAGATTGTACTTTAAATATTCCCTATACAAATGATGATGATTCCTTGACTGTAAGGGGTTCGCTTGGAATCACTGGTCCAAACGTGACCTTACGTTGGTGAGATGGAAAATTACTAAATCATCGCGAGTTTTATTTCAGAACATGTAGTTACATGTCGAGATTTCTCATCTCAGAACTCCCATCTTGGAGAACTTTTGGTGGGTAACTTTATCAATCTTTTTGAAAGTTTTACTAGCCCGACGTCTCGCCAGCTGGATCAGAAAACACAGTCCTTAAACTTAACATAATCCCAAAAGCTGAGTTAATTCAGCCAGAACATACCAGCGGAAGAATAATCCGGTCGATTTTATAATAAATCTCGTTAGCTCTATAAGATGCCAACAAGGAAGATAAAATGATGGTGACCGATAAATCTACAGTTTAGTCAGTGTAATAAGCGCCAAGCGCGAGCACAGAACTTTTTTTCTCCGATTTCGATAAATTTGGTACCAAAAGTTGTCTAAAAATGTGAATAAAATAAATCCACCGTGTAGCAATTTTCGGAAAAAATGCTACACGGCGCTTGTTCGCCGCGCGTGCTTTTTTCGCACAAATTTTTAGTTTTTGGTCTATAACTTTCACATCTTAAATTATTATCACATAGTTATTATGGTATCGTAATCAACTTATCGAGACGAAACTTTTAGTACTAATATTTTAAGATTTAAAGGATTTTTTTTCAAAAGTTTTTAATCTGAACACAAGGGTCCCCCCTTGTGTACAATTTTGAACAAATTTTCAAAAAATTTGGTGCTTTAAATATTATAATTTTGGTACCAAAAGTTGCGTCTGATTAAGCTCATTACGATTCTGTAAGAATTATTTCAAAATATTCAATATTTTAGGAGTTATAGACATTTCAAGCAATAAATTAACCATTTTTCGTCCATAGTACACTTTTGCAATGCACAGGAGGCCCACATACATCTCGACGAATCGTGCTACACGGTGAATTTTCATTATTCACAGTTAAAGGCAACTTTTGGTACCAAATTTATCAAAATCAGAGACAAAAAATTCTGTGCCAACTCATGGCGCTTATTACATAGACTAGTTAGTTCATGTCCACTCTGCACTGCAATTATCGATTGTGCTTTTCACTGCACTGCCGCGGTGCTACTATTGCACATTTCAACACCCTGTCAACATAACATTAAGAATAAGACTTTGTTTAACTTCTAATTCAAAAGCTCTAATGTTAATAATTAATGTGCTGTCGGTCTATGATGGTGACCACTCCCACCTGCTGATGTTACAGTTCTCTCAGACCTCAGTTTGTTATTTAATCTCTAAAAATAGCAACACGGTCCTGTTTTGAAGTGTCCAGCATCTTGAATGTTGAAGCCACGAGGTTTAGAAATTATACAAATTTATAACAATGAACGTAATTTTAGTCTCGTCATCATCAGACTTATGTGGCGTGCAGCTCTATAAACCAAAAAACTATTGCATTGAACGGGTTGGTCAAATTTTTGATAAACTATTACACGAAACAATTCCTCTAACACGACAGAAATTAGAAAGTACAATAGTAACCACCTCATCAGGTTTTTGTATCCATACGCACACCTAGACTAGATAAGAGACTAGAAACACAATTATTATTAATTCTACAATTCGAATTTATGATGAAGTTTCTTATCTTTGTAACTTTTTTAGTCGGAGTATTATATGCAGCAAAGTCAAAGAAGTCTAAGGATGGGACAAAGCAGCTGTTACAGGCGATAAAAAATGAGCTGAGTGAGCTCAAGAAGGGACAAGGAGTTCTTGGAGAGAAGATTCAGTCACTTGACGAGGGACAAGAGGTACTCGGAGAGAAGATCCAGTCTCTTGATGACGGACAAGGAGTACTCGGAGAGAAGATCCAGTCCCTTGATGACGGACAAGGCGTACTTGGAGAGAAGATTCAGTCCCTTGAGAAAAAGCTAGAAAAGGCGGGGACCTGGCGCCTGGGGATGAACATCAATCCTGCCGACGGACACATATTCGGATACACTGTCGGTAAGAAATTATTATCATGCTTTTTGAATTGGGAGATTTAATTGTCGCCATTTTGTGCCATCGATTTTGGGGATTTCCCGACAAAAAATGAAAATTAAAGTAAATTTTATGTCGAAAGTGTCAAAAATAGTGAATTTTTCATCGTGGTACTGGTAATGGTATCGAGAAAAATTATTCAAATTATAGAAATGAATGGGCGAATGTCGAATCTGCGTTCGTTATCTTTATCATTTACAGGACAATAACCCAACACCATCAGGCTGAATTGATTATCCTCAGGATGGGCCACTGGTATTGATATTGGAAGTGATGATGAAGCCCTAACCAAGGACTACTTGAGTGCAAAAGTGTGGGTTACACCAGCAAACTGCATTGCTATTGTGAGACATCAGCGAGGTGTTGTGGATGCTGTGAAGGTCTTCAAGTTCAAAGTCCCGGGAGAATCACTCAGTACAAGGTAAGCACAATTTTCCCCAGGAACTAAGCCTCTGCCTGGATTTGGCTAAACCACTTGCAATCTGTCATAAAATCTTTTCAAATCAAGATCTAATTCTTATGGATTTTCAGAGATTATAATTTTTGATAACATAACTTTGTTCAGGTTCGGGCTGAAAAACATGAACCCGGGCAGACAAATTGTTACTCAAGGAGGGCCAATCCAGGAGTCAGTTGCCGATGATGCTGATAATTTGGGAGACGATCCTATATTCTCTGTTGGTGGAGACCTCGCTTTTAACTGGACATATAGCAATAACGGCTGTAGAATTGCACTCACTGAAGGACACCTCTCTGGAGCTGATGTGAATGACGACAACACACACGGCCTTGGAAATGACTTTGGCATCAACCCACTCACAGACACCATTAACAGTGTCTGGGCTCACGATATTTCAAACATACAGGACTGTCCAATGCCAGCCTGTAAGACGTGAGACTACAGGGAACAGATCATGAAACAGGACCACATTTTAAAAGTGGGCCCGTTTACGGGAACTATGCAATCTATGTTTCATTTGACTCGGAGAAGTTCCCCCTGCCTGGTGACAAGCTTAGTCTGAAGATTGAGATGTAGAGGGACTACTTTACAAGGAAGGACGATGGACTGAATGATATAGATATCTAGAATATTTTATAAATTCCTGACATTAATCCTCTTTTTCGTGAGAATCTTTCTGCAACAATTGTGATGTGACTCCATGGTTTTTATTCCATTATATTCATTAATTTGTTTAACTTAGACTGTGAAAAATAAATTATCAGCCATTGTACTCAATCAAATACAAAAAATGTATTTCAGAATAGAAATTTATTAACGCTCCAGAACTAAATTTTAACCTTAATAGAGGGAAATGTAAAATACTAAGTGCTTAGGTGCACGTGCGTATATGCAGAGTTACAGTGTTGTACTGTTGTGATCTAGATTACTCCTCAGAGTCTGGAGCACTTTGAGGTTTATTCAGGTCCGGTTATTTTTTGTCAAAGACATTTCAGGGCATATTAATAAATTCGAGCGCTGTCGTTTAATTTGATTAGAAGTTCTATTGTGATTTATTTCATTAAGAGGTTGTTCCACCTTTGATCAGCGCAACAGTTAAATTTATGCAATTAATACTTTGATATATCTTTTAGGATTTAATTGTGGGGGAAAGAAAATAGTATGGTAATTCGGGTGCACGGTAAATCGTGGATTTGACTTTTGAGTGGATCACATGGTTTCTCTCTGCACAGTACAGGTTTCAAATTATGGGTTATAAATTAAGCCTGACAACCTTGCTTGACATCTGGGACCCATTTATAAGCCGTATTTCAAAGGATAACGTGATATCAAATTATGATTATCATATATAGTATATACAAGGGTCTCCCCAGTATCCGTATGTCCGATAGTCTCCACTGAGCCCTTGTTGTTTTCCAATCAACATGTTTCTTAAAATACCAAATACCAATGCAAAATACAATTTTAAATCATTCAGAGTTATATTAATGAAGGTTTTTGAAGGGAACTGTTTCAGTTGAACCACCTAATTCATTCACAGACAGTTCAATTATATTCCTCATAACTATTACTGAAACCTCTTCATAGTTTGTTAAATCTATTGTCTATCGTTAGTTCAACACTATTACTTGATTAAACAGTATTACACAACTATATTATTTACATTTTAGATGTAGCCCTATCCTTAAATACTAACAATATGTCCGCATGGAGTCGTGAGCATTGAGAACATTAGTCAAATTTTAAACTCTTATATGAATACGTGATAAGAAGTGAAGTAATAATTATAGTCAAAATGTAAAAACTATAGAGTAATAAAACTCGATGAAGCACAAATAACAAAATTAAAATGGTAGATCAGAGCATATTCCATAACTAATAGATTACGAAAGTATTTAACTTTGGAAAGCGGGTTTAATACGAGAAGATGTGTCGATTTTTCTCAATTGTTGCCACCAAGTATTCATTTACAAATAATCGATGATCTATTGTAGTTTGTACGTTACGTTTGATCGATGTAATAATCCTAAAGATTCAAGACACAATGTGAAATAACGCCGAATAACGAATTATTTTACATCTTAATAGGGTAACTCAGTGTATGAGTGAGTGGTTAGCCAAAACTTTGCACCACGCTTAGTAATGCACCCCCCCCCCTGTACAGTCAGGGAATGTTCATCTTTACCATTTTATGATAACTGAATTCAACTACGATAGAACTATAGAAGACAGTATACATTATACAAGTATAAAGTAACATTTGATTATATAACTGCATCATTACATAGTTAAATCTACAGCACCTAGTCACTTCATTACTCAGAATATTTATACTATGATCAGATGTGATGGTTTATTTGTATATTACTGCTAACAGTAACACACTAATTATATACCTTTATCTGAAAATCCACGAGACACAGTGCGAACGTTCCTGCATGAGCACATGTCAGCTTCTATAGGTCTGAATATTATAAAAGTTTTACAAAATATGTAGATAATAGAACAGTTACTAAGATCGAATGCTGTTTTCACAAATTAGACGCCGGTAGGTTTCGCCGGTAGGTTTCGCCGGTAGGTTTCGCCGGTAGGTTTCGCCGGTAGGTTTCGCCGGTAGGTTTCGCCGGTAGGTTTCGCCGGTAGGTTTCGCCGGTAGGTTTCGCCGGTAGGTTTCGCCGGTAGGTTTCGCCGTTAGGTTTCGGGCCCACGCCGCCTAGGACTGGTTTACCCACGGCGGACAAGCCTACTAGCTTGCTGTCAATAAACTAAATATTCACTCCTGCTTGAGCGAGCGCATGCACCTGAACCGCTGAACGCTAACAGGGTGCATAGTCAGCTGTCTCTTTTACAGAAAAACTCAGTTACATTCTTGAACGGTGCGAGAGTCTTGGTAATATCTTTAGCTAACTCAGTCTCTCCTGCATCCAGTTTTAGATTGCCTAGCTCCAATTCATCTAAACTTCCGTGCACTGCATCAATTATCCGGTCATATCTATTGACGGGGCATGTTTTACATTTTCTTATTGTCCTGCTGGTAAGTGGTAGTGGTTTGTTGACCAGCCTCATAGAGTTAGCTCCGTGAGGCTGGTCAGCATACCTACAGTATATTGCATATTTTTTACACGCTAGCCTAACCAGCTGATGAGCATGTTGATTATCATGACATAAATGTTATTTATAATGAATCTGGTTACTATAACAATAAAACCACAATTTACCGTGGAATTCGGACGTGCCACAGTTAAACTTAAAATTTGAGTGAGCCGCCCTGTCAGGCTGTCAATAGCTGTCTAGGATCTAGTCGGCTCGTAAATGTAAAACCGCCGGATTTGACCCGGTGCCGGGGTTTCTAATAATGATCATAGTTCCATACCTCGGTAGCTATTCCAACGATAGAAATCCTATCTTGATTCACGGCCATGATGAATGGATTTCCAGTCAATTTCATTCGAAGTCGAATCACTTCGGGCTTATCTTGATAGCTTCGAGCTATTGTAAAGTGTAATCGCTAAATATCGGACGATTTACGTACTAAAGTTCGACAGCTAAAGTTCGTGGTTTTCGAGTGTCACTATACTACTATACTAATAAACGTTATAAATTCGAGATCCTGGTGGATACTGGTGGACCTGACAAGGATTAAGTTTGACCCATTTTCCCGAGCTAACTGTCAATAAACTAAATAATCACTTTTGATTGAGTGAGCATGCTGTCTCTTTTACAGAAAAACTCAGTTACATTCTTGAACGGTGCGAGAGTCTTGGTAATGTCTTTAGCTAACTCAGTCTCTCCTGCATCCAGTTTTAAATTGCCTAGCTCCAAGTCATCTAAAATTCCGTGCACTGCATCTTTATCCGGTCAGATCCCTCCTGCAACATACTGCACAGTAACGGGTTTTGTAGTCTCGTTGCAGTCTGAGTTCCTTTCCGTGCTTCAACAAACAACAACAACTACATCTGACCATACAACCTCCGAGTTACCTGCTAGATGCGATAACGCAACATTTCAATTTTCACTGCCTCAAATTAATATACACATCCCATCACACTGCAAATTTTGCTAGCAGTAGCACCGGGTTTTAACTTGGGAAATCATCGCCGATAATATCGGTTGGCAACCCTAATCTTGATAGCTTTGAGCAACTAAAGTTCGTGGCTTTCAAGTGTCACCATACTATAACTACACTACCATGTGTCTGGAGCCGTTGGGACGCTCAATGTAAATAGTCCATCCCCCCCTGGGTTTTACCAGGTGACATTTAGATCCACCGCTGTAGTATCTGTTGTTATCTATCAGTATCATACGTTCAATAATCACTGTTCTCACAGTGACCTGTTACTTTGGTCGGCACCTCTGCTGGATCTGCATGAGATCAAATGAGGAATTGAGAGGGTACACGTGAACGCTAACAGTGTGCATTAGCATAGTCAGCACATGACCCGTGAAGCAAATTCTTAGTTGCCTGTTAAAATTCCTTCCCCATTTATCGTCTTAGTTGACGATACCATTTTTAATCAATCTTCAGTCAGGACTTTAAACCAGAGGTACGATCCATAATTGGCATCCGTACGGCAAATAAAAAGTGTTGTGAAGCGTTTATACACTTATTACACACGTTCATCAAGTTATTATGTTAGTGTTATACACAATTGTAAGCTTCTTTGTAAACATTAACAATTATAGCCTCGCGAAACAAAGGATAATATTTCTACTAATGTTAATGTGCGCTGAAACTTATTGACGGGGCATGTTTTAAATTTTCTTATTGTCCTGCTGTTAGTGGTTTGTTGACCAGCCTCATAGAGTTAGCTCCACGAGGCTGGTCAGCATACCTACAATTTATTGCATATTTTTTACACGCTACCTAACCAACTGATGAGCATGTTGATTATCTTGACATAAATGTTATTTATAATGAATCTGGTTACTATAACAATAAAACCTCAATTTACCGCGGAATTCGGACGTGTCACAGTTAAAATTTGAGTGAGCCGCCCTGTCAGGCTGTCAATAGCTGTCTAGGAGCTAGTCGGCTCGTAAATGTAAAACCGCCGGATATGACCGGTGCCGGGGTTTCTCATAATGATCATAGTTCCATACCTCTGTAGCTATTCCCACGATAGAAATCCTATCTTGATTAACGGCCATGATGAATGGATTTCCAGTAGATTTCATTCGAAGTCGAATCACTTTATAATGAACGTTATAAATTCGAGATCCTGGTGGAACCTACAGGTGGACATGACAAGGATTAATTATGACCCATTTTCCCGAGCTAACTGTCAATAAACTAATTAATCACTTTTGAGTGAGCATGCTGTCTCTTTTACACAATAACTCAGTTACAGTCTTGAACGGTGCGAGAGTCTTGGTATTGTCTTTAGCTTACTTAGTCTCTCCTGCATCCAGTTATAGATTGCCTAGCTCTAAGTCATCTAAAATTCCGTGAACTGCATCAGTTATCCGGTCATATCTCTCCAACATACTGCACAACCATGAGCTCCAACGGGTTTTGTAGTCTCGTTACAGTCTGAGTTCCTTTCCGTGCTTCAACAAACAACAATTACTAAGTCTGACCATACAACCTCCAAGTTACCTACTAGATGCAATAACGCAACATTTCAATTTTCACTGTCACAAATTCATACACATTACATTTACACACTGTCACTATAACACAGAACGCCAGCATACCATCACACTGCAAATTATGCTAGCACTGGGTTTTAACTTTACAAACAGAGAAATAGATTCGAAAAATATGTTAAATGATGGCCATTTTACCATAATAAAATTTGGTCGATTATCGCGATAATTCTCGAAAATTATCGGCCCATGGAGATGACTGTTAGATCAGCGAACTGGTTCATACCGTACGTAGCTGTTCCTTGCTCTGCCCTGGAATAAACAGGTACATTTTGTTATCCAATTAAACCTGTACATTCAGCTGTGACTCTAAGGTAGACGGATAAGGTTGAAGTAAATTTAATATTGAAAGTAGATCAGTATAAAAGTATATTTCCTCACTTGTTGTAGAGTTCCCATTTAGCCATGTTCCTGTAAAAGGTCCAATATCTGACATTGTGTTCCTCCTCAGTTTCGTATACATGTCTATAACATTTAGTTTTAAACTTTAAAGTAATAATAATGTATGTTTTTACTAAGGTTAGAAATCGTTAGCGTGGAGTTCATTTACTTTTTAGAGCACTTATATTATTATTTGTGTAAGACTGATGTCCCTCAATTCCTCAAGTCTCCTCTTATCTTTAATTATTCAAATAGGGCAAGATGTTGTCCTTAGTTCATAATTTAGTACGTTGATATATTTGATATAGACCATTTGCCTTATCACTTTGGTTTTTAGAATAACTTTGAGACAAGTAATAAACTCATATAGATTTTTAGGTACGGTACATATAGATTGTGCTTTAAATATTCCCGATACAAATGATGATGATTCCTTGACTGTAAGGGGTTCGCTTGGAATCACTGGTCCAAACGTGACCTTACGTTGGTGAGATGAAAAATGACTAAATCATCGCGAGTTTTATTTCAGAACATGTAGTTACACGTTGAGATTTCAGAACTCCCATCTTGGAGAACTTTTGGTGGGTAACTTTATCAATCTTTTTGAAAGTTTTACTAGCCCGACGTCTCGCCAGCTGGATCAGAAAACACAGTCCTTAAACTTAACATAATCCCAAGAGCTGAGTTAATTCAGCCAGAACATACCAGCGGAAGAATAATCCGGTCGATTTTATAATAAATCTCGTTAGCTCTATAAGATGCCAACAAGGAACAGAAAATGGTGGTGACCGATAAATCTTCATGTCCACTCTGCACTGCAATTATCGATTGTGCTTTTCACTGCACTGCCGGTGCTACTATTGCACATTTCAACACCCTGTCAACATAACATTAAGACTTTGTTTAACTTCTAATTGAAAAGCTCTAATGTTAATAATTAATGTGCTGTCGGTCTATGATGGTGACCACTCCCACCTGCTGATGTTACAGTTCTCTCAGACCTCAGTTTGTTATTTAATCTCTAAAAATAGCAACACGGTCCTGTTTTGAAGTGTCCAGCATCTTGAATGTTGAAGCCACGAGGTTAAGAAATTATACAAATTTATAACAATGAACGTAATTAGTCTCATCATCATCATCAGACTTATGTGGCGTGCAGCTCTATAAACCAAAAAACTATTGCATTGAACGGGTTGGTCAAATTTTCGATAAACTATCACACGAAAAAAGTCCTCTAACACGACAGAAATTAGAAAGTACAATAGTAACCACCTCATCAGGTTTTTGTATCCATACGCACACCTAGATTAGATAAGAGACTGGAAACACAATTATCATTAATTCTACAATTCGAATTTATGATGAAGTTTCGTATCTTTGTAACTTTTTTAGTCGGAGTATTATATGCAGCAAATTTACAGAAGTCTAAGGGTGGGACCAAGCAGCTGTTACAGGCGATAAAATATGAGCTGAGTGAGCTCAAGAAGGGACAAGGAGTACTTGGAGAGAAGATTGATGACGGACAAGGAGTTCTTGAAGAGAAGATCCAGTCCCTTGATGACGGACAAGGAGTTCTTGGAGAGAATATCCAATCCCTTGATGACGGACAAGGAGTTCTTGGAGAAAAGATCCAGTCCCTTGATGACGGACAAGGAGTTCTTGGAGAGAAGATTGATGACGGACAAGGAGTTCTTGGAGAGAAGATCCAGTCCCTTGATGACGGACAAGGAGTTCTTGGAGAGAAGATCCAGTCCCTTGATGACGGACAAGGAGTTCTTGGATAGAAGATCCAGTCCCTTGATGACGGACAAGGAGTTCTTGGAGAGAAGATTCAGTCACTTGAGAAAAAGCTAGAAAAGGCGGGGACCTGGCGCCTGGGGATGAACATCAATCCTGCCGACGGACACATATTCGGATACGCTGTCGGTAAGAAATTATTATCATGCTTTTTGAATTGGGAGATTTAATTGCCGCCATTTTGTGCCATCGATTTTGGGGATTTCCCGACAAAAAAATGAAAATTAAAGTAAATTTTATGTCGAAAGTGTCAAAAATGGTAAATTTTTCATCGTGGTACTGGTAATGGTATCGAGAAAAATTATTCAAATTATAGAAATAAATGGGCGAATGTCGAATCTGCGTTCGTTATCTTTATCATTTACAGGACAATAACCTAACACCATCAGGCTGAATTGATTATCCTCAGGATGGGCCACTGGTATTGATATTGGAAGTGATGATGAAGCCCTAACCAAGGACTACTTGAGTGCAAAAGTGTGGGTTACACCAGCAAACTACATTGCTATTGTGAGACATCAGCGAGGTGTTGTGGATGCTGTCAAGGTCTTCAAGTTCAAAGTCCCGGGAGAATCGCTCAGTACAAGGTAAGCATAATTTTCCCCAGGAACTAAGCCTCTGCTTGGAATTGGCTAAACCACTTGCAATCTGTCATAAAATCTTTTCAAATCAAGATCTAATTCTTAAAGGTTTTCAGAGATTATAATTTTTTGATAACATAACTTTGTTCAGGTTCGGGCTGAAAAACATGAACCCGGGCAGACAAATTGTTACTCAAGGAGGGCCAATCCAGAAATCAATTGCTGATGATGCTGATAATTTGGGAGACGATCCCATATTCTCTGTTGGTGGAGCAGTGATGCACGCCGCCGCCGGACGCCGCCGCGCCGGCACATTTTCACACGCCGCCACGCCGATACCTCTCAAGTCGGCGTGGCGTAAAAGGAAATAGAAAGAGTATGGAGCCAGTCGGGGTTGATTTTGAACTCTAGGAGATCCAAATTGTCCAACGACAATGTTAAGAATTTGATTTTTCTTAAATATAATTGTAAAAACCACCAAATATAATTGTAAAAACCACACTTATTACATCATTATTTCATGCACGCACGTACGCCACAATTTTTGTGGGCCTGGAAATTCAAACCTAAATTTTGACAAAATTATGTTCCACGCCGCCGAACGCCGCCACGCCGGGCCATTTTGGGCACGCCGCCGCCGGTTGGCGAAAAATGAACCGGCGTGCATCACTGTGGTGGAGACCTCGCTTTTAATTGGGCATATGGCAATAACGGCTGTAGGATTGTACTCACTGGAGGACACCTCTCTGGAGCTGGTGTGAATGACGACAACACACACGGCCTTGGAAATGACTTTGCCATCAACCCACTCACAGACACCATTAACAGTGCAGACTGGGCTCACGATATTTCAAACATACAGGACTGTCCGAATGTATCCTGTAAGGACGTGAGACTACAGGGAACAGATCATGGAACAGGACCACATTTGAAAAGTGGGACCGTTTACGGGAACTATGCAATCTATGTTTCATTTGACTCGGAGACGTTCCCCCTGCCTGGTGACAAGCCTAGTCTGAAGATTGAGATGTAGAGGGACTACTTTACAAGGAAGGACGATGGACTGAATGATATAGATATATAGAATATTCTATAAATTCCTGACATTAATCCTCTTTTTCGTGAGAATCTTTCCGCAACAATTGTGATGTGACTCCATGATTTTTATTCCATTATATTCATTAATTTGTTTAACTTAGACTGTGAAAAATAAATTATTAGCCGTTGTGCTCAATCAAATAAAAGAAATTTATTTCCAAATAGAAATTGATTAACGCTCCAGAACTAACTTTTAACCTTTATAAGAGGGAAATGTAAAATACTAAGTGCTTAGAATTAAGTGCCCCTTCTCCGCCCTTCTCCGCCCACTACAACTACAATCCCGTCTTTTTAATAAATTCGAGCACTATCATTTAATTTGATTAAAAGTTCCATTGTGATTTATTTCATTAAGAGGTTGTCCCACCTTTGATCAGCGCAACAGTTAACATGTTCATGTTCAATTGATGCAATCAATACTTTGATATAACTTTTAAGGATTGAACTTGAAGTCCTTTGTGAAAATAAATGATGTAAATTTTAAAAACGTATGAAAGTTTATCAATCTAACAGTATCAATTTATTGTTCTCAAAGCAAAATTATTTGAAAATATCAAATCATTTGGATCACAATGAGAGTATAATTAACTGAGTTAGAGGGTAGCTGAGGTAACCATTTGGTTGCATCCACAGCATCCTTTTCCTCTGTACAGCCTGAGAAAGGAAAGATTTGTAACTATTATTTGATATCATAGTTAGTAAGAATACTTGTTAGTAGTTAGTTTTATAAATATAATAACTTGCTAAAACTCTAGCTAGAAGTTCCCGTTTCTGATATTACCCCTTTCTATATTGTATTCGGAAATTTTATCAGAATATCAGGATGGTATTATATATTTATTTACATGCATTTTAAATGAAATAATATATAAATGTTTACTTGTAGTATCCTTTCTCTCCCCAGGTTGCTCCCCAACTGTTCTTGATAAGCCAGTAATCTTTACCACTCTCCGTTCCGTATCCCACGATTACAACTCCGTGGTCTATACCTGACGGCTCACACAGGAACGAAAGAGGGTGAGAAACTCCACCTGGTACAATTATCTGGTTCAATTATCTGGTTCAATTATCTGGTACAATTATCTGGTACAATTATCTTGTACAATTATCTGGTACAATTATCTGGTACAATTATCTGGTTCAATTATCTGGTACAATTATCTGGTACAATTAACTGGTACAATTATCTGGTTCAATTATCTGGTACAATTATCTGGTACAATTAACTGGTACAATTATCTGGTTCAATTATCTGGTACAATTATCTGGTACAGTTATCTGGTACAATTATCTGGTACAATTATCTGGTACAATTAACTGGTACAATTATCTGGTTCAATTATCTGGTACAGTTATCTGGTACAATCATCTGGTTGTATTCGTTTTTAGGGTATTTGCAGCGACATGGAACTTCATATTCGAGGCAGTAAACTTTAATCAAGTTCTAAAAATATAGCTAGATAACTTTAGAACATAACAGCGAATATTAGATATAAAAATTACCAGTATAGAACTGCATAGCAGCAGCATTGAGTCCGATACTGACAGGTCCGTTAGCAGCAACATAAGCAGCAATCTTCTTCTCATCAGTGCTCACTTTCTCTCTTCCGGTGATATCGACAGCTACCTTGCTCCCGTCGAACTTGCAGGCTCCACCTCTTCCAGTGTAGGGGTAGTCCTCTTCTGTCTCCAGGCCTCCTAGTCTCATGATTTCAGCGTATGCCTAAGACAAGAGCTTTATTAATTACGTTTCACTTACCCTGAGGTTAAGAAAGGAGCTACTTTTTGATAAAGATTAATCAACAGGTTTATAGCTCAGGTACATGAAGTTAATGAGCTAGTTTGATTGGTACCTGGAAAGGGAGACCTCCGTTGCATCCCAGATCGACCTTGTCACAATCAACCAGCTCCTGTTCAGATAGAGACACCAGAGTTCCGTTCTTGATAGCCCATCTTCCCTCTATATTACCTAATGTTGTGAGCAAGTCGGTAGTGATGTTTTGCAGTTTAAACTAATTACAACACTACAAATCTATTACATTTATTGAGGTGATACTCCCTTGTGGATTGCCGTAAAAAGCCGAAACTAGTCTCGCCTCGAGGTACGTGGTTTTCATGATTACCTGTGGTGGAGAAGGCCCAGCAACTGCCACACTGTCCTTGGTTCTTTACTGGGGTAACAGCGTCTGGGGAGGAACAGTTTGATGGTCAAAGTTTTGGATTAGAATACAGTTCATCATTACAAAAGCACATCATATCAAATGTCGACATATCATTAGCTTATTTTCATGACAAATATTCAATAATTATCCTTACTCTTAGTTCTCCAGTCCATCTCAGCAGGGGTATCAGCAACATCTACCTCTTCAGCTTCAGGGAGAGAGTTCAGCATGTTCATGCCCTTGCTGGTGACTGGAGAGAGATAGTGTTTGGAGAATTCCTCCTCTGTTAGGTCAGCGAACTGGTTCATACCGTACGTAGCTGTTCCTTGCTCTGCCCTGGAATAAACAGGTACATTTCGTTATCCAATTAAAGCTGTACATTCAGCTGTGACTCTAAGGTAGACGGATAAGGTTGAAGTAAATTTAATCTTGAAAGTAGATCAGTATAAAAGTATATTTCCTCACTTGTTGTAGAGTTCCCATTTAGCCATGTTCTTGTAAAAGGTCCAATATCTGACATTGTGTTCCTCCTCAGTTTCGTATACACGTCTGTAACATTTAGTTTTAAACTTTAAAGTAATAATAATGTACTTTTTTACTAAGGTTAGAAATCTGAGCCGATTTAAGCGTGCATTATGCAATACCAAATTCCAAAATATCAAAATACCAAAATCCAGATTTTTGTATTTGAGTGCCAATAATTATGCAGCTGAATCATTAATTTGGTATTTTCAGAATAAATTTTGATTTCGATTAACTTACTCATGTTTTAGCATGAACACCTCAAATGTTGGTGATGTGAGTTTCACCCCAGCGGCAGCAGCCACGATTGTGGCAATAATAAAAACTCTCAGCATGGCGAAGCTTCTAACAAATGAAAAACAACCCCAAAAAATAAGTTGATACTGTTCTCAGTTTGCAGGTGGTACGATATTCCTCCCTACCTTGTGACGCACCATGTGAACCACGAGCTAGCAGATAACAGATAAGATTTGTAACTCTACTAGAAGTCATGAGCTGTTTACTTATCTGTTGAACACGAGGTTTGCTTGCAGCCTGTAATTACATTACTGTTTATTCTTTTTGAGTTCTGAACCCATCATATCCATGGTTGGAGACGAGTTGGTGGATCAGCCAATTGAGTTAGACATGTTTCTTACTTAGCCCCGTACAGCTGGAAGTAGTCAAATTATTTTAGGTTTGGTATTCTTGGTATCAAGTTTATCAGTTATCACTCCTAAACTGAGCGTTTTTGAGTATGTCATGTGCATAGGTAATTGCGAATATTTATATGTCAGCAAAAGACACTTTGACCTACTGGACACAATTAAATTTGTCAAGGATCAACATCTTTATATCTTTTCCTATCTATATCAAAAAGGATTGAGCGTTCAGATTCAAGGCTGCAATGAAATAGTACCACTTCTTCAAGTGGAAGTTCGTCAAGACTTAAGGCCAGGAAGTATAATTTTAGAGCCTTTTTAACTGTACACTTTTAATCCCAAACTCCCCCTCTCCCATCTCCCCTCCCCCTCTCCAGTCAGTCCATTACCATGAGAACCTTATCATAGATATCGGACAGCCGAGTGCTTAAGAACACATACACCAAAACAGGAGTTAGTGTCGTCCAGCCAAAAAATACCTCTCAAAAGGCTGTGTTTTGTAACTTATTAAAGTCAATAAGTAGGAATTTTCCTCTTCAGGCTTAGGTTTCGACCAAAAATTCCATCAGGGAACATCAGATTTTTATTATAATTCACATGAAATTGATCGCACCTTTTTCATGCCCTCGAAAAGGTGCTCCCTGCAAGTGCTACTATTGCAAATGGAACTCTGTTCTCATTCATAACGATCCATTTCCAGGGGCTCTCGCGCAAAGTAGCTTACTTTTGTCAGGTACCCCTACTGATTCTAAATGATAATGACTACAGTAATTGCCAACTCTAACCATTTCCATATTTACGCTCCAACGCCTGAAGATATCACAACGAAGAAGCTTAGGGGACCTACGTGGTATTTTGGGCTGGGGAGGTCCCCCAGAGGTCTCGTGAGAAGTTTATTAGCTGCAAATTCAAAGGTCCTTTACTTCCATTTCAACAGTCATTATTTAAACGGATGCTCTACATGTTGCGCCCCATCAATGCTTACCTTTCCCTAGTTCATTCCATCCGATTTATTTTCTTGGAAACTGCCACTCTTGTTGTCTCTTGTTTATCTGGAGAGAAGGTGAAAATTTAATATACGCTTGGTATTTGAAGTTTGCTACTTTCACAAAAATAATGACACATATCTTGTCCAAGAAGAGTTGGTTACAATTAAACTCAATTAAATCCACAGTGTGCAGCGGACTACCCCCGACCTGGACCCACATGACCAGCTCCCCTGGACTACCTGTAGAAGTGTAGAGACCTGCACATTTGGCTACACTCTCACAGGAGATAACCATGTGACTTGTCAAGCTGATCAGAGTTTCCAGTAAAGTGTTCGGCCTAGCTGTAAACTAGGTGATATAGTCAGGGTAAAGGTGTTAGTAACGGTGTTAGTTAAGGTGTTAGTTAAGGTGTTAGTTAAGGTGATATAGTCAGGGTAAAGGTGTTAGTAAATGTGTTAGTTAAGGTGTTAGTTAAGGTGAGATAGTCAGGGCAAAGGTGTTAGTAAAGGTGTTAGTAAAGGTGTTAGTAAAGGTGTTAGTAAAGGTGTTAGTAAAGGTGTTAGTAAAGGTGTTAGTAAAGGTGTTAGTAAAGTTGTTAGTAAAGGTGTTAGTAAAGGTGTTAGTAAATGTGTTAGTAAAGGTGTTGGTAAAGGTGTTAGTAAATGTGTTAGTAAAGGTGTTAGTAAAGGTGAGATAGTCAGGGTAAAGGTGTTAGTAAAGGTGTTAGTTAAGGTGTTAGTTAAGGTGTTAGTTAAGGTGTTAGTAAAGGTTAGATAGTCAGGGTTATACTTATGCTGATCCTCCTTCACTTTGAAGAGCGTTTTTCGACTCAAAATCAATGATTAACTTGTTATGATTATTTCTGAAGATCTTACATTATTTGAGCTGGTTTCCAGTTTTGACCTGGAAATATTAAGGAAATTCCCAAAAACAGACTTTACCGATAAAATAGGGGAAATCAAGCCCCAAGTCTCCAAACCCTGAAATTCTAGGTTCCATAATTTCTAGGACGACTCCCATACAACTTGATTATTCTTCAGTCTTCACAGTGTGTAACGGACTACCACCGACCTGGGAACACATGACCAGCTCCCCCAAACTTCCTGTAGAGACAGGAGATGTGATAACAGTGTCCTGCACACCTGGTTACTCTTTCACAGGAGATAAGCACGTGACTTGTGAGTCTGGACAGAGCTTCCAGTTCAATGTTCGGCCTAGCTGTAAAGGTGAGACAGTCAGGGTATACTGATCCTTTAACTTATCAAAGCTTTTTTTCAAGACAATGTTGTTGATTAACCAATTACTCAATTATGGTTAAACCATAACACAATTTCAGGCGACTGCAAGGCCCTGCCAATAGAGTGGGACGTTAACCTAGTCCCCGAACCCCCACTCTCCCAAGATCACAGAACAGAGGTTATATTACAGTGAGGTGTGCTCCAGGGTACACTATGGAGGGTGCTCTCAGTACTCAGCAGGCTACTTGTCAGGACGGGGTTCTCATACCGACTGAGCAGTTTTTTCCTGTCTTACCGGTATGTTATTGTGCTGTGTCACTACTTTACCTAAATTATAAATAACTATGAACTACAATAAATGCCCTGCAAATACCCCTCCCCGTATCCCGAGCTCCTCCTCTAAGTCTAACTCCTTAATAATAATACGGACCTTCAAAAACAGAACCTTGACACGGATATCGATAAAAGAGAGCTAAATAACAGACAATGTTAACTTGCTTTTGAGAAAGGAATTGACCAACAAACAAGCGACCATGAACAAATTTGGTACACGTACTATAGTTCGACACTCACGGAAGTTTTAAACGAAATTTCACAATTTTTAAACGCGAACGAATTCTTCTCAAAAAACCAATTAGTCTGTCAACTATACTTATAGATTGTAGATGTCATACATAGCACAATTGAGGAGCTGAAAGTAATTTGATTTTGGTCGAATAAAGCTCATTACGGAAAGCTTTATAACAAAACGAAAATTCGTATTTTTCAATTTCTGTCTCATTCTTAATTTCCGAACAGAAATATGGCAGATTTGATGGATTTTTGAATTGCCCAGTGACCAATAAATTAGCTAACTGAAGATGGTATAAAACAAAATTGGGGTCGGGTCGGGTACAAATAGTAGAATTCCCCGATTGCACAAAATCTTAGGAAATAAGTAATCGGGTTTGGATATATAAAATGGCTCGTGGGCCGCGGCCCTGCGTTGATGACAAAAGTCTTCTGATCCTTCGCAATATAGACCACTCCCCTATAATATTAATTATGTGTTGGGCCGGGAATTCATAGAGATTCGGCGGAATGACAGGCTGAGCGCGGCCCAGTAAGTTGTAAGCTGATATATATTGATATATGTTTTAATTGTATAACTATAGGAGCTCTTGTCTCTTACGTTGGAAGAGAGCTGCCTGCGAGCATGTGAGTGCCTTGTAACATTACGTGATCTCAGATCACATCACGCGGTGCGCGTGATTCCGTGGCGGTACTTGACACGCGCAGCGCGCGCAGTCCTTTTCTGGGGTAAGAGAAGAGGGAGTCATGTTCTCGAGGTTTCGAAGTCCTTTCTTAACAAGTTTTGTAGATTTATATTTTATCAGTTCATCTGTTATCATCTGTTATCAGTTCAATCGTATTCGTTGTTCCTAGGCGGTGCACGATAAAAATAAACTTGCTCGGATTTTCAACATTTTTGTACCATCGTTTTCTAGAGACTGTGAGAATTTTCACAGTACCAAATGTATTATACCTTTTTGGAATGATCAGTGAGTTTCTCCTAGGTGCCATATTTGATGGTGCGCGGCTTTTGGGGGCAAAATTAGGTGTAAAAGTCGCGTAATTTGACGAAATTCGTTGATTTTTGTCGTACTATTCTGTCATATATATCTTCGGTTCCTGAACATGAATCATGCTGAAAATTTGTCAGAACCTTCCAATCATACTTAACTACCGATTCTAATTTAGTTGGGAGAGATTGACCTTGTATTGATTAAGAGGTCTAAAAATAACAAAATAGGTATAAATTCGTTGATAACTCAAATTCTGATCATCGAAATTGCTCAAACTAAATTAGGTTCAGTAGAACATAAGTGTTTACGTAAGCTGACCAAATTTCAACAAAATTGTTATATGGGAAGTATTATAACTTTTTGATTGTTTCCAAAATAATGTGCTGGCCGAAATAAAAGCTAAAAAACCATTCAATTGAATGGTTAATTCAATGGTCAGCGCGCGCGTCTTATTGTCGATGGCGCACTGCCTATTGTTCCCTGTTCTCAAGAAATATAGAAGCTACACATGACACTATTCAGTCATTCAGATTTTGTAGGTTTACAACCTACCAGGACGCGCGCCGAGTTGGACTCGTCGACGGTCCTGGAACAAATATTTTACGAGTATCACCCGGCCGTTAATTCAGATTTAACTAAATTGAGTGCTTATACTGTTAATCTTTGATACATGTTACGTATCACAAATATCAAAGATATTATTATTATCTTTCCGCCTTCGGCGGCGCGCGCTTCGCGCGCGAAAAGTGGCATGCAACGTATGTCAAGTTAATCTAGTTCCATATAATAACGTCTGCAAATTCGTCATACAAAAAGTCGCCTCTGCACTCTGTGACCGCATTCGCCCAGTGTGACCACTTTCCTTCTATCCAAAGACATTTTTCCACTCTACAACAACATTGGTAAAATAAATCGTCAATTTTTAATATGCACGAATCCCACTCATTTATAAAAACATAGTATGCAAATATGTTGCACTTTTATCCAATAACACTTTTCACTCATGCATTCAAAAGAATTAATGCTACA